TTTAAGATGTGGTCGAGGACTTCAAAAAATTATCCTTTTTTTTTTTTAAACCACATAGAACCCAAATGCAAAAAAAGAGAAAAATCCAAACTTTTATTTAAGTACATTACTTTGGTGGTAAAAAAAAAAATCACACATTTAGAAAAAAAATAACTTGAAATCATGTGTCCCACAATTATTGGCACCCCTAACAATTCCGCTGAAAATTTTAATAGATTTTTTTTTTTAAATATATTTTTCTGTAGTTGCTAAAGTTGGTCAGGGTATCTAGGAACTTTTAATTAGTAATTCATGACTTCCTGTTTCCCTGGGGTATAAATATGACGTGACACAGAGGCCTAATTCTCTTACCCATTTGTCAACATGGCAAAGACAAGAGAACACACCATTCAAGTAAGGCAGATTTGTGTCGACCTTCATAAGTCAGGCAATGGCTACAAGAAAATAGCCACTCGCCTTAACTTGCCCGTATCTACAGTCAGAGGAATCATTAAGAAGTTTAAAACAACTGGAACAGTGACAAACAAGGCTGGAAGAGGTCCCAAGTTTATCTTGCCACAACGCACAGTGAGGAGGATGGTAAGAGAAGTAAAAAAAAGTCCTAAGCTCACTGTCACAGAATTGCATCAAAGAGTGGCATCTTGGGGTCACAAAGTCTCCAAAACAACCATCAGACGCTCTCTACATGCCAACAAGCTGTTTGGGAGGCATGCAAGGAAAAAGCCTTTTCTCACTAACACTCACAAACGTAAACGTCTGGAGTTTGCTAAGCGGCACTGGGACTTCAACTGGGATCGTGTGCTTTGGTCAGATGAGACTAAGATTGACCTTTTTGGCAACAAACACTCTAAGTAGGTCTGGCGTAAAACAAAAGATGAGTATGCCGAAAAGCACCTCATGCCCACCGTGAAGTATGGTGGAGGATCTGTGATGCTGTGGGCCTGTTTCTCTTCCAAAGGCCCTGGGAACCTTGTTAGGGTGCATGGCATTATGAACGCTTTGAACTACCAGGACATTTTAAATAAAAACCTGATGGCCTCTGCCAGAAAGCTGAAGATGGGTCGTCATTGGGTCTTTCAGCAGGATAATGATCCAAAACATGTGGCAAAATCTACACAAAAATGGTTCAGCAGTCACAAACTCAAGGTCCTCCCATGGCCATCTCAGTCCCCAGACCTCAACCCAATCGAAAACCTGTGGGGCGAGCTAAAGAGGAGAGTGCATAAGAGAGGACCCAGGACACTGGATGATCTAGAAAGATTGTGCAAAGAAGAATGGTCAAAGATCCCTCTCTCTGTGTTCTCCAATCTTGTGAAATGTTATAGGAGGAGATTAAGTGCTGTCTTGTTGGCAAAAGGGGGTTGTACAATGTATTAACATCAGGGGTGCCAATAATTGTGGGACACATGATTTCAAGTTATTTTTTTTCTAAATGTGTGATTTTTATTTTTTACACCAAAGTAATGTGCTTAAATAAAAGGTTGGATTTTTCTCTTTTTTTAAATTTGGGTTCTATGTTGTTTAAAAAAAAAGGAGAATTTTTGGAAGTCCTCGACCACATCTTAAACAGGGGTGCCAATAATTGTGGAGGGCACTGTACATAGTTGTGTTTTGTGGGTGCCACTGAGTAGACTGATACCCCATTTCATGGGTAAGACTGTACAGTCTAATAATATATGTTCAATACATACAGTGGGGAGAACAAGTATTTGATACACTGCCGATTTTGCAGGTTTTCCTACTTACAAAGCATGTAAAGGTCTGTCATTTCTATTATAGGTACACTTCAACTGTGAGAGACGGAATCTAAAACAAAAATCCAGAAAATCACATTATATGATTTTTTAAGTAATTAATTTGCATTTTATTGCATGACATAAGTATTTGATCACCTACCAACCAGTAAGAATTCCGGCTCTCACAGACCTGTTAGTTTTTCTTTAAGAAGCCCTCCTGTTCTCCACTCATTACCTGTATTAACTGCACCTGTTTGAACTCGTTACCTGTATAAAAGACACCTGTCCACACACTCAAACAAACAGACTCCAACCTCTCCACAATGGCCAAGACCAGAGAGCTGTGTAAGGACATCAGGTATAAAATTGTAGACCTGCACAAGGCTGGGATGGGCTACAGGACAATAGGCAAGTAGCTTGGTGAGAAGGCAACAACTGTTGGCGCAATTATTAGAAAATTGAAGAAGTTCAAGATGACGGTCAGTCACCCTCGGTCTGGGGCTCCATGCAAGATCTCACCTCGTGGGGCATCAATGATCATGACGAAGGTGAGGGATCAGCCCAGAACTACACGGCAGGACCTGGCCAATGACCTGAAGAGAGCTGGGACCACAGTCTCAAAGAAAACCATTAGTAACACACTACGCCGTCATGGATTAAAATCCTGCAGCGCACACAAGGTCCCCCTGCTCAAGCCAGCGCAAGTCCAGGCCCGTCTGAAGTTTGCCAATGACCATCTGGATGATCCAGAGGAGGAATGGGAGAAGGTCATGTGGTCTGATGAGACAAAAATATAGCTTTTTGGTCTAAACTCCACTCGCCGTGTTTGGAGGAAGAAGAAGGATGAGTACAAACCCAAGAACACCATCCCAACCGTGAAGCATGGAGGTGGAAACATCATTCTTTGGGGATGCTTTTCTGCAAAGGGGACAGGACGACTGCACCGTATTGAGGGGAGGATGGATGGGGCCATGTATCGCGAGATCTTGGCCAACAACCTTCTTCCCTCAGTAAGAGCATTGAAGATGGGGTCATGGCTGGGTCTTCCAGCATGACAACGACCCGAAACACACAGCCAGGGCAACTAAGGAGTGGCTCCGTAAGAAGCATCTCAAGGTCCTGGAATGGCCTAGCCAGTCTCCAGACCTGAACCCAATAGAAAATCTTTGGAGGGAGCTGAAAGTCCGTATTGCCCAGCGACAGCCCCGAAACCTGAAGGATCTGGAGAAGGTCTGTATGGAGGAGTGGGCCAAAATCCATGCTGCAGTGTGTGCAAACCTGGTCAAGACCTACAGGAAACGTATGATCTCTGTAATAGCAAACAAAGGTTTCTGTACCAAATATTAAGTTCTGCTTTTCTGATGTATCAAATACTTATGTCATGCAAAAAAATGCAAATTAATTACTTAAAAATCATACAATGTGATTTTCTGGATTTTTGTTTTAGATTCCATCTCACACAGTTGAAGTGTACCTATGATAAAAATTACAGACCTCTACATGCTTTGTAAGTAGGAAAACCTGCAAAATCGGCAGTGTATCAAATACTTGTTCTCCCCACTGTATAATAGACTAACTGGGGAGGTGGTTTGCCACCTCAAAGTACCGCAATAAGAACAATGACTAATATTTGTGTAAACTCTTTGGAATAGTTGTGTTTTGTGGGTGTCACTGAGTAGGCTGATATCCCATTTCATGGGTGCACACTCCATAGATAAAGCTGTACAGTCCAATATGAATGTCCAATACACACAATAGACTGACTGGGGAAGGGATTTGCATTAAGAGCTATGACCTTAATATTTGTGTAAACTCTTTGGAATTGTAATCTGTGGGTGTCACCTAGTAGGTAGGCTGGCTGTACAGTGCACATATGTATGCCTCCAATGCAATTATGCAGTCTAATACATCCACAGAGGGATCTCAAGTTTTTTTTTTTTACTGTTGGTCAAATTAATTATTATTTCATTCCTTTTTAAGTTATGTAACAACATTCCAACCTCGTTTAACATAATCTAGTGGTCAAAATATGGCATTATTCCACTACTTGTATCCGTTTCAGTTTCAAATGGGGAACTTTTATTTTGAAGGCAAACCGAAAGTTCCACAATGTGGCTAGCTAAACTTCACCCGTCACCGTTTCACTTCCAATGACTTGCGATTGGGTTACTTCCAATGGCTTGCGATTGGCTTGTGTGGCTGTACGTTGACAACATGGCAAAAACAACGCTCAACTGTTAATCGCCCACTCTATCTAGCTAGCGATACATTTCTTTCTGCAGCGTTGCGCCACACAACAAGGCAGAATCAGCTAGCTACAATGCTAGAAAAAAGAGATTCATAAAGGACGGATATCTGTAATTTTATCACCATGGAGTCCTACGATATAATAGCAAATCAGCCTGTGGTTATTGATAATGTAAGTAGCCAAAGTTAGCTAGCGCGCCAACATCATTTGTAAATGTAACGGTAACTGAATTAGTCGAAAAGAAACGCATCATTCGCTAATGTTAGTTTGCTTTTCAATATGTGGTGGTCGTTGTCTTGTTTATTGCTAACGTTAGCTAGCTAGCTAGCTGATTAGCCAGTAGTATGCTTTTGCAAACCCTCTTTTATAGGCCAGATAGTTAACTAACAAGATTAGCTAGCTAAAGCCACATAGATCAAATATCTTTGCTAAAGCCACTGACTAGCATTGCGAATCAGTCAGTAGTAGCTAGTTAGTTACCTGCCATAGCGTTGTGAGATGGGAAGGGTAACAACAAGCTAACCTTAGATGGTTGCATCCCCAACCAATCCATCAGTATGCTAACTATGGGGAGCTCAGAGTAAAACAAATTATCTTATCTAGCTATTAAATAAGAAGTCTAGCCAACGTTAATTATGAAAGAAATGACATGAATGAGGAAACTAACTCATCATCTAGGCTAGATTATTAACAGCCTTTCTCTTCAGGCTACTTGATATCAGCATCATTGTGAAATAAAAGAAAGCATAATTTACTTATGCATCATTGTTCTGCTGATCCTAATCAATACAAGGCATTAGAGTACAATAATTGATGAACACCAGGAAGGAACAGCATGTTTTTACTACTGATATTGGGGTCTGATACAGTAGTTTACAATAGGAGGCCGGCGTGCTGGTGTTTTGCCCCTCAGCACTGTCTCATGAATACTGACTAATATCACTTTACAAACAGGATGAACAGATGGGGCCAGAGACACCCCCAGTCCCTATAATAAAATAATTAATTTATGTAGCCGACATTGCAAGGACCTACATTTTCTTACTTCTCTTCTCTTTCAGGGCTCCGGTGTTGTTAAAGCTGGTTTTGCAGGAGACCAGATCCCCAAATACTGCTTCCCAAACTAGTAAGATCTAACACTTCAGCCATCTCAACACTTTAAAATGAAATACTTAATGTATATGACTGAAATGCTTTGTTTGAATGAAAAGTGTATGTAAAATTATCCATGTGTTTACCTTCTAGTGTGGGTCGTCCAAAGCATGTTCGGGTGATGGCAGGTGCTCTGGAAGGAGATCTCTTCATTGGCCCAAAAGCGGAGGTACAGTGCTCTACTAAGACTGATGCCTGTGGCACTGATAATGTAAAAGGCTTTATGGTGTATGCCTATATGTAGGCTGTTATTACACTAAATCTGTATTTTTAACAAAATAGAGTACTTTGGCCGCTATTCCCAAGACTGTTGATCTCTCCATGTGGTTGTAGGAACACAGGGGGCTACTTTCTGTGCGGTACCCTATGGAGCATGGTATTGTGAAGGACTGGAATGATATGGAGCGCATCTGGCAATATGTGTACTCTAAGGAGCAACTACAGACCTTCTCTGAAGAGGTATTTTTGTCTGGTTTCTGTGACACACGCTTATTCTGGGTACTTTTAATTTGACCATGAGAGCTGGTGTTTTCTCTCAGGGCTTCTTGAAGTGAATATGTATGTGATTGTGGGGTTTTAGTTTTTTTACTGTTTCACTGCATTTACTTTTTTGCATTTCTCCTAATATCCTTTAGCATCCTGTGCTGCTAACAGAGGCCCCCTTGAACCCAAGTAAAAACCGGGAGCGTGCAGCAGAGGTGTTCTTTGAGACCTTCAATGTACCAGCGCTCTTCATCTCCATGCAGGCAGTATTAAGCTTGTGAGTTTGTCTGTCTCTTGTTTGCCAGCGTAATGTTGGGCATACCGGTACATTAAAAGATTTCACCCCCAGAGGAGGAAAATGGTCGTTAATAGTTACCACAGCCACATAATCATAAAACCCCTCCTATGGATGTGGTAACTAGTGACAACTAAGGAAAACCTAGACTAATATGACATGTAATACATTAGTAACTGTAGAGATATGAAAATGATAATTAGCATAAACACTGTGTTAACAGTTTTGAATGTCTCTGGATATTGCAGATATGCCACAGGCCGGACAACAGGAGTGGTGCTGGATGCTGGTGATGGGGTCACCCATGCTGTGCCCATCTATGAAGGCTTTGCCATCCCTCACTCGATCATGCGGGTGGACATTGCTGGGCGTGATGTCTCACGCTACCTACGCCTGCTCCTGCGCAAGGAAGGCTATGACTTCCACACTTCAGCTGAGTTTGAGGTCGTGCGCACTATCAAAGAGGTATGGATTAGGAAATTGTGTTGCATTTTTGATGGGGTCAAAAATAGTTTTATAAATTCACAAGACACTATCAGTCCTGTTATTGGTTTCATTCTTTGTCCTTGACACCTGTCACCCTCATTTTGTTTACCTCTGCAGAGAGCATGTTACCTATCTCTGAACCCACAAAAAGATGAGACCTTGGAGACAGAGAAGGCGCAGTACACTCTTCCTGATGGCAGCACATTGGATGTGAGTCATATTGGATGCATTCTCAAAATGTTTCTAAGATTTAGTGTTCTGGAAGTTAAATATTACTACTTTGACATTAACATATAAGCTGTTGTATTTATACTGAAGCATTGAGAACTTGTTATCCCCTGTGTAGATTGGCCCTGCTCGGTTCCGAGCCCCAGAGCTCCTCTTCCGTCCAGACCTGATAGGGGACGAGAGTGAAGGAATTCACGAGGTTCTGGCTTTTGCTATCCAGAAGTCCGACATGGACCTGCGACGTACACTCTTTTCCAACATTGTCCTCTCTGGGGGCTCCACACTCCTCAAAGGTATGGACTAGAGTTCTGTCCCACCAATTACATATTGAGGACTGCAGCAAACAAACTTCTCACTCCACTCCTTCAGCATTGGCTAATTGTATTAATCTCAATCTGTTTACTTTCTTTTTTTTTGTCCAAAAGGTTTTGGTGACCGGTTGTTAAGTGAAGTGAAAAAGTTGGCACCTAAAGATGTGAAAATAAAGGTATTATCTGCCTTAACCTTGGGGCCTTATTTACCTATGTATGAGCACTGAGCAGCAATTTCAATGTAGTAAATGTTTAATGTTGGTGCAACATACTTTCTGAACTAGTTTATTTCCCTGTTTTACTCTTTGTTAGATCTCTGCACCTCAAGAACGACTCTACTCCACGTGGATAGGGTAAGTAACGTCATGTGATCAGCCACACTCCGATTAAACAGATTAGTCTCTGTTTGTTTCCAGAGTAATGGACAGGAATGATCCTCTCTTGTTGCATGCTTTAAGGGGCTCCATCCTTGCGTCACTGGACACCTTCAAGAAGATGTGGGTTTCAAAGAAGGAGTATGAGGAAGACCGAGCACGTGCCATCCATCGGAAGACCTTCTGAAGAGGCTGGCGTTGCTCCTATTCTGCCAAAAAAAAAAAAAAACTGTCTCAAGTCCACCAACTACTCCACTACACCCCCTTCCCCATTACCCCTATGATGTGGAGAGCCCATGGCATGCCTTCTACTGACTCCCCTACACACGCCATATGACGGGGAAACTGGCCAGGACTGGCAAAGTGTTGGCCAGCATTTACCAGACAGACCAGAACCTGTCCTAATGACAAGGCTTTAAGTTGCATCTCTTGATATTGGGGATTATTATTATTTTTTGCATCAAGCTGCATTGCTTGATGCAAATTCTGTATTTATTCTAGTGTGTGTTATGCCCCATATGAAATGGATCATAAAATCCATCACTTAAATTACAATGAAGGTGAACATTCTGCTTTACGTTGATAGATTCAATTAAGACTTTTGTTTTTACCTTTTGGGCATAGTTACTGTGGCACATTAAACGGAGTGTGCAAAGATACCTTAAGAGCTTGTTAGTATAAAGTTATTGTTTCCTTATTTCCCACAGTCTTAAAATATGACCCAGTGTACTGTAACTTACACCTCTCGACTCCATTTGGGTACATTGAAGTGTTGCTTCATATTCAGCTGTTGAAAGATGAAAGACACAGATGGATAAATAAATAAATAAAAAGTGCAGATGTTGCAATTTCTGACCAGAACTTTCCCTTATTTCAAACCCAAGTGGATGTAAATTGTATTGAAAATATTTGATGATCGGTTTATCACATTTAACTCAACATTGTAAGGGGACTAACATTAAGTCTTGAGTGGACCATATGGTTAAAAGCACTTTCAGTGTCAGATTGATGGAGAATATTCTGACTGAATTTGTATCCAAACTGGTATGGTTTGCTTCATCTAATTAATTTAACTGCACCGAAAGGAATACTGACATGACAATGGGTGGGTTGTCATGTTTTCTGCAGGATATTTGCAATCTAAACTGAATTGATTACTGACTTCATTTTAGATCAAAATATGTATTGTTTTAGTTTCAAGAGGAACCCTGTGACCATATCCTGCTAGTATAATGACTCCTATAGGCAAATACTAACACCAAAATTAACAGTATTGCAAAAGAAAAAAGAAAAAGCCTTTCATTACAATACAGTTGTTCACTCTGCTGGGATGTGGTAATTTTTGTTATGCTGAATACATTAGCAACGCTGATGTAACTTAAGATTTTGAATAAAATTGCAAAATAATATAAATGTGCACTACATTTGATCAGTTTCTTTGGTGGAAAATACTTAAGGTGGCTCCTTGGGATGTCGAGCTCTGACATCACCCATTTAAGTTAATTTAATCAAATCAAAATGTTAAGTCACATGTACTGAATACAACAGGTGTAGACCTATAAATATCACATTTACATAAGTGCACTGCTCAAAAAAATAAAGGGAACACTTAAACAACACAATGTAACTCCAAGTCTATTATTATTATAAGTCAATCACACTTCTGTGAAATCAAACTGTCCACTTAGGAAGCAACACTGATTGACAACAAATTTCACATGCTGTTGTGCAAATGGAATAGACAACAGGTGGAAATTATAGGCAATTAGCAAGACACCCCCAATAAAGGACTGGTTTTGCAGGTGGTGACCACAGACCACTTCTCAGTTCCTATGCTTCCTGGCTGATGTTTTGGTCACTTTTGAATGCTGGCGGTGCTTTCACTCTAGTGGTAGCATGAGACGGAGTCTACAACCCACACAAGTGGCTCAGGTAGTGCAGCTCATCCAGGATGGCACATCAATGCGAGCTGTGGCAAGAAGGTTTGCTGTGTCTGTCAGCGTAGTGTCCAGAGCATGGAGGCGCTACCTGGAGACAGGCCAGTACATCAGGAGACGTGGAGGAGGCCGTAGGAGGGCAACAACCCAGCAGCAGGACTGCTACCTCCGCCTTTGTGCAAGGAGGAGCAGGAGGAGCACTGCCAGAGCCCTGCAAAATGACCTCCAGCAGGCCACAAATGTGCATGTGTCTGCTCAAACGGTCAGAAACAGACTCCATGAGGGTGGTATGAGTGCCCGACGTCCACAGGTGGGGGTTGTGCTTACAGCCCAACACCGTGCAGGACGTTTGGCATTTGCCAGAGAACACCAAGATTGGCAAATTCGCCACTGGCGCCCTGTGCTCTTCACAGATGAAAGCAGGTTCACACTGAGCACATGTGACAGACGTGACAGAGTCTGGAGACGCCGTGGAGAACGTTCTGCTGCCTGCAACATCCTCCAGCATGACCGTTTTGGCGGTGGGTCAGTCATGGTGTGGGGTGGCATTGCTTTGGGGGGCCGCACAGCCCTCCATGTGCTCGCCAGAGGTAGCCTGACTGCCATTAGGTACCGAGATGAGATCCTCAGACCCCTTGTGAGACCATATGCTGGTGCGGTTGGCCCTGGGTTCCTCCTAATAATATAATATGCCATTTAGCAGACGCTTTTATCCAAAGCGACTTACAGTCATGCGTGCATACATTTTTTTTTGTGTGTGTGTATGGGTGGTCCCGGGGATCGAACCCACTACCCTGGCGTTACAAGCGCCGTGCTCTACCAGCTGAGCTACTGAGGACCACTGAAGACAATGCTAGACCTCATGTGGCTGGAGTGTGTCAGCAGTTCCTGCAAGAGGAAGGCATTGATGCTATGGACTGGCCCGCCCGTTCCCCAGACCTGAATCCAATTGAGCACATCTGGGACATCATGTCTCGCTCCATCCACCAACGCCACGTTGCACCACAGACTGTCCAGGAGTTGGCGGATGCTTTAGTCCAGGTCTGGGAGGAGATCCCTCAGGAGACCATCAGCCACCTCATCAGGAGCATGCCCAGGCGTTGTAGGGAGGTCATACAGGCACGTGGAGGCCACACACACTACTGAGCCTCATTTTGACTTGTTTTAAGGACATTACATCAAAGTTGGATCAGCCTGTAGTGTGGTTTTCTACTTTTAATTTTGAGGGTGACTCCAAATCCAGACCTCCATGGGTTGATACATTTGATTTCCATTGATAATTTTTGTGTGATTTTGTTGTCAGCACATTCAACTATGTAAAGAAAAAAGTATTTAATAAGATTATTTCATTCATTCAGATCTAGGATGTGTTATTTTAGTGTTCCCTTTATTTTTTTGAGCAGTGTATTTAGACCCTTTACTCAGTACTTTGTTGAAGCACCTTTGGCAGCGATTACAGCCTTGAGTCTTCTTGGGTATGATGCTACAAGCTTGGCACACCTGTATTTGGGGAGTTTCTCCCATTCTTCTCTGCAGCTCCTCTCAAGCTCTGTCAGGTTGGATGGGGAGCGTCGCTGCACAGCTATTTTAAGGTCTCTCCAGAGATGTCAGATCGGGTTCAAGTCTGGGCTCTGGCTGGGCCACTCAAGGACATTCAGAGACTTGTCCCAAAGCCACTCCTGCGTTGTCTTGGCTGTGTGCGTAGGGTCGTTGTCCTGTTGGAAGGTGAACCTTCACCTCAGTCGGAGGTCCTGAGCGTTCTGGAGCAGGTCCCAGGGTTGTGGGTTCGATTCCCATGGGGGTCCTGTATGAAAATATATGCACTCACTAACTGTAAGTCGCTCTGGATAAGAGTGTCTGCTAAATGACTAAAATGTTTTCATCAAGGAGCTCTCTGTACTTTGCTCGGTTTGTCTTTCCCCTCGATCCTGGCTAGTCTCCCAGTCCCTGCCACTGAAAAACATGCTTCACCGTAGGGATGGTGCCAGGTTTCCTCCTGACAAGACGCTTGGCATTCAGGCCAAAGAGTTCAATCTTGGTTTCATCAGACCAGAGAATCTTGTTTCTCATGGTCGGAGAGTCCTTTAGGGTGCCTTTTGGCATACTCCGAGCTGGCTGTCATGTGCCTTTTACTGAGGAGTAGCTTCCGTCTGGCCACTCTACCATAAAGGTCTGATTGGTGGAGTGCTGCAGAGATGGTTGTCCTTCTGGAAGATTCTCCCATCTCAACAGAGGAACTCGAGCTCTGTCAGTGACCATTGGGTTCTTGGTCACCTCCCTGACCAAGGCCCTTCTCCCCCGATTGCTCAGTTTGGCCGGGCGGCCAGCTCGGTACCCTTCCCCAGATCTGCGCCTCGACACAATCCTGTCTCTGAGCTCTATGGACAATTCCTTCGACATAATGGCTTGGTTTTTGCGCTGACATGCACTGTCAACTGTGGGACCTTTATATAGACAGGTGTATGCCTTTCCAAATCATGTCCAATCAATTGAATTTACCACAGGTGGACTCCAATCAAGTTGTAGAAACATCTCAAGGATGATCAATGGAAACAGGATGCAGCGGAGCAAAAATTTGAGTCTCATATCAAAGGGTCTGAATACTTAAGTAAATAAGGTATGTTTAGTTTTTTTCATAAATTTGCAAAGATTTCTAAAAACCTGTTTTCGCTATGTCATTGAGAGTAGGTTGATGAGGAAAAACATTAATTTAATCCATTTTAGAATAAGGCTGTAGCGTAACAAAATGTGGAAAAAGGGAAGGGGTGTGAATACTTTCCGAATGCACTGTATATACAGGGGGTACGTGTACCGAGTCAATGTGCGGGGGTACAGGTTAGTCGAGGTAACATGTACAGTGGGGAAAAAAAGTATTTAGTCAGCCACCAATTGTGCAAGTTCTCCCACTTAAAAAGATGAGAGAGGCCTGTAATTTTCATCATAGGTACACGTCAACTATGACAGACAAAATGAGATTTTTTTTCTCCAGAAAATCACATTTTAGGATTTTTAATGAATTTATTTGCAAATTATGGTGGAAAATAAGTATTTGGTCAATAACAAAAGTTTCTCAATACTTTGTTATATTCCCTTTGTTGGCAATGACACAGGTCATACATTTTCTGTAAGTCTTCACAAGGTTTTCACACACTGTTGCTGGTATTTTGGCCCATTCCTCCATGCAGATCTCCTCTAGAGCAGTGATGTTTTGGGGCTGTCGCTGGGCAACACAGACTTTCAACTCCCTCCAAAGATTTTCTATGGGGTTGAGATCTGGAGACTGGCTAGGCCACTCCAGGACCTTGAAATGCTTCTTACGAAGCCACTCCTTCATTGCCCGGGCGGTGTGTTTGGGATCATTGTCATGCTGAAAGAACGTTTCATCTTCAATGCCCTTGCTGATGGAAGGAGGTTTTCACTCAAAATCTCACGATACATGGCCCCATTCATTCTTTCCTTTACACGGATCAGTCGTCCTGGTCCCTTTGCAGAAAAACAGCCCCAAAGCATGATGTTTCCACCCCCATCCTTCACAGTAGGTATGGTGTTCTTTGGATGCAACTCAGCATTCTTTGTCCTCCAAACACGACGAGTTGAGTTTTTACCAAAAAGTTATATTTTGGTTTCATCTGACCATATGACATTCTCCCAATCCTCTTCTGGATCATCCAAATGCACTCTAGCAACATTCAGACGGGCCTGGACATGTGCTGGCTTAAGCATGGGGACACGTCTTGCACTGTAGGATTTGAGTCCCTGGCGGCGTTGTGTGTTACTGATGGTAGGCTTTGTTACTTTGGTCCCAGCTCTCTGCAGGTCATTCACTAGGTCCCCCCGTGTGGTTCTGGGATTTTTGCTCACCGTTCTTGTGATCATTTTGACCCCACGGGGTGAGATCTTGCGTGGAGCCCCAGATCGAGGGAGATTATCAGTGGTCTTGTATGTCTTCCATTTCCTAATAATTGCTCCCACAGTTGATTTCTTCAAACCAAGCTGCTTACCTATTGCAGATTCAGTCTTCCCAGCCTGGTGCAGGTCTACAATTTTGTTTCTGGTGTCCTTTGACAGCTCTTTGGTCTCGGCCATAGTTGAGTTTGGAGTGTGACTGTTTGAGGTTGTGGACAGGTGTATTTTATAATGATAACAAGTTCAAACAGGTGCCATTAATACAGGTAACGAGTGGAGGACAGAGGAGCCTCTTAAAGAAGAAGTTACAGGTCTGTGAGAGCCAGAAATCTTGCTTGTTTGTAGGTGACCAAATACTTATTTTCCACCATAATTTGCAAATAAATTCATTAAAAATCCTACAATGTGATTTTCTGAAGAAAAAAAAATCTCAATTTGTCTGTCATAGTTGAC